AAAAAACAAAAAAAAACAACAACAACAAAACAACAAAAAACAACACTAAACGGCCCGAAACCGCGCTGGAACGTTGCCAGAGGTACAAGCAACGACTGTACCAAGTTTTGTAGCCAATTGTTGAGCGAAACATGTTATCATTACTCCCATACATTAATTTAAAAACCATACACAGGAACCTTGTTTGGGCTGCATGTGATCCCATCAACTACCGCTTTAGTTGGCTGGCTGCCGGGTTAGATCATTAGTTGGTTGGTTGTTGTTGTTTTCTTTGGTTGTTTTTTATTTGGTTTGGTGGTTGGTTGTTTAGTTCGTTGCATGGTTGTTTAATTTGGTTGGTCTGTTGCTGATTGGTTGTAATTGAGTATTAGAATAAGGTTTCGCGCACACACACACACAAAATGCCTAGCTTAAAAACGAGTGCGCTTGGAATATAAAAAGTGATTGTACCACAGCTAAAAATGGAATAAAGGGAAATGATATACTAATGCACTTGATAATGAAATGCTTTGAATTACGTGACAATATATGTGACATAGTGTGACGTGACGTGTACACATTACATTACCTTTTGTTGAATGAAAGGTGTGATCATTAGTTGGTCCAGTGTATCGACTTGGTGTCAGTCCCATCCTTAACGACCAATCAAAATTATCCTCTCTGCGAGTATTCCGCCATCGACAGAAACCAGCCTCGAATGTACACGACAGGTTACCAATAATAACAGGAGCTATAGTAGATACAAGAAAACAACATTATCCTTTTTCCTAAAAGGATTGGGACATTCGAATCAGACCTACAAAGCTAAGATTGTAGAGGAATTTTATGCTCAACAACTAAAGCTATTTCATATAAGTTGCAGCTTGACGATGCTGCCTCACAGGTTGGATGTGACAACTTCTCTAAAGTCATGTGCAACCGTTAAACAAAGAAATGACACTCTAGAGAATGACGTGGTTTGAAATGGAATATAAAAACATTATTAGGCCCAAGAGGCCCAAGGTAAATAGGTCACTATTAAAGACAAGGACATAAAGTACTGCCATATCTAAATTATGTCACACGACCCTATGCATCGCGAAGTTGTTACCAGTATTAGTTAAAACACACACACACAAAAAATCATATCAGGGCGGTCAGAGCCAAACAGGTAAAAAAAACTTGTTATCGCTTATCACCACCGCAAGTACAGCAGTGGCGCAGCTCAAGGGGGTCGAAATGAAAGCATGTGAAGGCGCCTCTGGCAGCCGCTATACAGTCCATGTATGACCCCGGAAAACAGTTGATTTGAGAGGAGGGAGGAAAAACCGATGGACCGGAAAAACCCTCGGAGTCAGAAAGAAAACCAACCAATTCAGCTCACATGGGGTGACTGGGATGTATTGAGGTTCATAGGATAGCTTGTCTTACCATCTTTGACACATTTTATAAGTTGGCAGTAACCGGTGGTAGGTAGTTTGGATTCCTCGGTGCACTGCCATGATGATTTGTTGGTCTTGAGGTATAAACAATCAACACTACGCGTGCGCAAACCACGCCCACAGGTCTTGGAACACTAAAGAAATTGAATTGAACAGAATTTAGCGGATCTTAGAATCTACAAGCTTTATGAGGGTGGCGAGCAGGAAAAACGTTTATCTATCATGGTTTTAAACAAATAATTTTACTCCTTTCGGTAGTAGAGAGACTAAAAAGTGTTGGAAAACAATCCTATTCTCAGCTTTGGAATCAAAGGTGGTTTGGCGGTAACTTTTAGTGAACTCGGCTCTCATATTTGGGGTTGTTTCTTGACTGGTATGCACATCGCAAGTGAGCAAAGTTTGTTGAGTCTGGGATTTTCTCTCGGCACTTATAAAAACCCAACACACTACCGCTAAATTTCAACTCCATCTGTAAGATAACTGTGTCCTGACTGAGGCTGCGTTTACCAGGACCCGCGCGATTTTTTTTCTGTTCACAGGGGATTGAGCTATCAAACAAATATTTGTACGCCTGGTATTGTAAATAGGACGTTTGCATGATAGCGTATTTTGACTTCAACCACCAAGATGCTTCGCGAATTTTCTTTCTTATTCAAATTTGTATGCCTTCATGAGAATAGTCTGGTAGTATAGGTCAATGACACCATCGTGCAAACGTCCTATTTGAATCCGGTTCCGCGTACAACGAAAGTCTTTTTTTATACGACTAAAGATACATTTCCGTGGCGTTTTATATACCATTTCAAACAAGAAAACATAAATGATGTTTTTGAAATATTATATATTTTGTTTCATATCGGAATGGACTAGTATATTGTTCTCTCACAAATGAAGGGCTATTGGATAACTCGCAGCTTCCCTCCCCCTCCCCCTCCCCCTCCCCCAATATTTATTTTTTATATTTTCGTACCTCTTGCCAAGGACCAGCAACCCATCTTGCTACGCAGGGTACCTTGGTGCACTTTTGTATGTTTGGGGGCTTTTTACCATCGCAGAAAAGATCTGACACTTTACTGCTTCTAACTCCATATGTTGATCTTTTACAGTACACATCGCGCTTTTGCATTCCATCACCGCAAGTCACAGAACAGGATTCCCACTTCGTGACTACCCAAGTAAAACTTCAAGACAAAAAAACAAACAAATAAAGAGGACTGACAACAAGAGGAAGCCCAATTTTGAAATACAGAACAATACATAACAATAGGTTTCCAATTTTCAGGACATTGAAAATCTTTCGTTTTCTCCAAATTGAGCTGCTTTGACTTCACGTGAAAGGGGTATAGGATTAGGATTATTAGGATTATTTGATTTCGCGATAACTTTTGTCTTGAGTGGGTTCCCTTTGTTTGGACTTCCCCTCATTTCAATGAAACACATTTTTCTATAAATTAAACTGGCATAAATTCAAATGCTTCCACTTTATGTACTTATGAAAATCACCGATCCTCTCGTTTCTAAAGAGGTCCCTCATACAGCACAAGAAATTTGGTTAAGTTGTTTACCGTATTTCACACTCTTTTTGGTTACACTTTCTAATCCTTGGTTTTGGTTTTGTCACTCCAACACAAAATTTCGTCTCCATTTTTTTCATGCTTCTTTTTCGATAGCACTCGTAGACTCTTTCTTGGATTCCTTAAAAAAATATATCTTTGTGATTCGTGTGGTGTGAAATGACAAGACATTACCACCAAGAGAATGACATGAGGTATGGTATGACAAAACATTACCACCAAGAGAATGACATGTGGTATAGAATGACAAGACATTACCACCAAGAGAATGACATGTGGTATGGAATGACAAAACATTACCACCAAGAGAATGACATGTGGTATGGAATGACAA